CCGGGTCAGGGCTTCTCAATTGCAGGGACTTGAAACATCTGGGATGAGATTAAAGAAATGCACAGTCCTGGGTTATTTTTATAACTGGGCAAAAGTGGGCACATTTCTCAGCATTCAGACCTGCTGAGAAAGGCTTCAGCTTTTCTCCAGTTCTGCAAAAGGTTGGCGGCATTAACAGCTTTGTTCGCCCACTGAGGTGGCTTTGGTGGAAATCTAGACATCTGTCTAAAGAGCCTGTTTTCATCTCTCAACCTTGCACGCTATAAGCTATGTCAGTATACAAACAACCTTCTGGACCTCAGTCTTTTCCCCCCTCTATCCGTCCACCATATGCACAAACATTTTTAGGGGTCAATAGCTTTAATAACTAGAAACATCCTGGAAGAATTACAAGGAGTTCCCTCATCAGACCACTTTTGCTTTGTAAATGCTGCTACCCATCACATAGCCATATTGTGAGGACAACAGATTACATGCTCTTGCCCCTTCAATCCCTGGACCCTTCTCTGTCAGGGTTCTGCATGCTGTAGGACTCCTTTTTCACCTAGCCTAAAAATCCATTCACAAACTCTGCTGGTGTAATTGAAATAATGAAGAAATCTGCTTGATTTATCTCTGGAGGGTCTCAGTCATCCAGGTCATGGTTGTCCCGAAGGTATGTTTTCAAAAACAACTGGACTTTGTTTCTCCTTGAAGATGTTTGGTTTCTCATCCAAGAAGCTTCTGACCTGCTTGATTTGCAATATCAAAAAGTTGAGTGAGTCAAAGTTGCAAAGACCTTTTGTAGACATACACCTTCAAATAAGAAAATGCATAACTTGAATATGAATTTCCCTCCTATTTCAGAAACCCCAAGGAACACTGTCTGCCTTTTATGAGTGCCAGAAATCTCTTCCATTAGTGTCTTGAGACCAAGCATTGGCGAGTCTTTGCCAGGGGGATCAGATGTGGTTCATCCTCTCTGCCTCCCTTTGAGATCTGCTGCTGGGGTTTGTTAATGGGGCACTGTTAGCCTTGACACCCACTGCACCCACAGGATATTATTATGGGTGCCATGGATGTGACTCATCTACCGCATGTGTTCTGGGCATGCTGCCACCACTTTGTCCATTCAAGACACCCTTCTGCTAATTTATTTTCAGCAATGTTTGGCCCATAATAACGAGAAGAGCTGTCCTGCTGCCAACTAGACTAGAACTTTCCTATGATGGCCTGTCAGAATGCTCTCAGCTGGGGACCAAGAGGCTGTTGAACATCAAACGTTGAAGCTCACCGCTTCCTGGTGGTGTTTCCTGCAACTCTTATTTAAACAAAAATGAGCAATTGGGCTTCATAACATTCAGAAGTGGGCATAAACTGAGGTGGCAAAATGTTGGTGAGGATGCAATGGCAAAGGGCACATTTCAGACCTCCCATTTTGGACTCTCCACCCTTCATTTTTGTCTTGTTGCAACCCAAATCTATGGGGCAGGACCCCAGATGCTGAAATAATTCTGGGACTCTAATTTTACGAATTCATTTTTCTGCCTTGAATGAATAGCATCCATCCTTCCAATCATTTGAAGTATGAACCACCCTTCAGAAGGGGTTGCCTCCATGTGTGGGGTACAGGAGCAGTTACTGCCCTCTCCCCAGGTTTTTACCGCAGGTCTGCAATTGATTTGCTTCAAAAGCCCTTTGAAACCAGCCTGAGAGAGGAGGCGGGAGTGTGTGCCTGTGAATATCCTGTTTTCCATTGTGTGAGTCCCTTTCCAGTGGTCTGCAGACTTCCCAGTTTCCCACGCTTTCATTAAATCTCAAGATTGGGGTGAGACACTTCCCATGGGGCTTTTTAATAGTGGTGCTATCATTAAGGGGGTGCCTTATTCTTAAGAGGCTTTTGGGAACATCTGCTACAGGGGAAATTTGGAAAAGTTCACCCCATTTCTCTGCTTACATATTTTATGGAGAATTTTGGAAGGCCGGCTAAGTCCAAGTTGCGTCCACGGAGGAGCCTGAGTGGCGTAGGAGGCTAATGCCTCCTACTAAGGCAGCATTTAACATCCAGCTGCCTGCAATTACTGCGAGTTCAATTCTCACCAGGCTCAAGGTCGACTCAGCCTTCCATCCTTTCTAAGGTGGGTAAAATGAGGACCCGGTTTGTGGGGGCAATAAGCTGACTTTGTATAAAAATATACAAAGTATGAAAGCTATTGCTTAATGCATTGTAAGCCGCCCTGAGTCTCCGGAGAAGGGCGGCATATAAAAATAAAATAAAATAAAATAAAATAAAATAAAATAAAATAAAATAAAATAAATAAATAAATTTCATTAAAAATAGCTTTGCCTGGCAAAGGAACTGGGATTCATTGCTAGAACAGAGCTTTTAATCTTTTCACACAATCCTCCCAGAGTTTTCTTCATTTGGCAGCATTGAATTGTTGGTTGTATAACATTTATGATGACTGGCCACTCCAGAAAACAGCAGTTTTCAGTATCCAAATTTCTAATTGTATAACATTTGGGGACCAGAATCCATAATTTGTTACAGATAGTTCTTGACTAAAGTTACAATGGCACTGAAAAAAGTGAGTATAACCATTTTTCACACTTGGCATCCCCAAGGTCATGTGATCAAAATTCAGACGCTTGGCAAGTGACTCATTTATGACGATTGCAGCGTCCTGAGTTCATGTAAACCTTTTGCAACCTCCTGACAAGCAAAGTCAATGGGGAAGCCAAATTCACTCAACAACTTTCTTGCTAACTTAACAACGGCAGCAATTCTCTTAACAACTGTGGCAATTAAAATAAGCAAAATTCACTTAACAACTGTCTCGTTTAGCAACAGAAATTTTGGGCTCAGTTGTGACCATATGTTGAGGACTACTGATTTTTATCCTGCCTTTATTACTTTGTAAGTAGCTGAAAGTTGAAAAAGTTTTTTTGTAAGTAACCCGATAGAATATCTCCCACGTTGTGCCCAGAACTAGAGAAGATTCTATTGGAAGTAAACGCCATGTTCAGTTCCTCCACGGTCTGGCTGCTGTGAGGGTGGCTTTTCTCCCTCGCCTGCTCCACCCACCCCACTGCAGAGATCTGAGTGAGAAATAAGAGCCTCATAGTCTGTGTAACCATGGACACCACCTCCAGTCTAGCTGGTCACAGCCATCTACCAACAGATTAATGGTCTCATTGTCAACCAGCATTGTTCTGCTTGGAACGTATAGAGGCCCCGGTTGACCCCATCACCCAAAATAGCCATTCTGGACTCATCGCTTCCTAAAGGGGATGCATCCCAGTGAAGTCTCTCCAGGGCCCAATTGCCTCTGCTTGGAGGTTAATGAGCGAAGCCTTTAGCTGAGAGGAATAAAAGGACAAGCAAGATCCTTCATGATAAAGGCTGATTATCAAGTTGCAGGTTGAAAACAAGGACGGATCCAATTATTGTGAAAAAGCAGACAGACATTTGCTTAGTGTTTCAGACCAGACAAGGAAGAAAAGGAGAATCAGGCAGCCGGTGAAGTTCAGATGATCTGGATGGATGGAAAGAATCGTAGATAGAAAACCCAGTTACATTTAGAACCAGAAAGGTACAGTTCTGAAGACGAGTCCTTCTTTCTATGATGGCAAGTTTTGAAAATGTAAAATTAGATGCACACAAATGCATGTGATCTCCAGCTCCATTGATTTCCAGTTCTTGAGAACCATGAATGTCCCAGGCCCACCCATCCTTTCGTCTATGGAGATTCTCAGTCATCCAGGTTGGGGAATTAAAATATGAAGTGGCTTGAACACATTACCTGGATAATATTAGTTTCTATTTTTATAGAATCACCTTAAAGAAATGTTCTTATCTGAAAAAAAGAATGGTGTTCCAATGCTGCTTTTTCAAGAGGCAACTGGATTTTGTTTTTCCTTGAAGATGTTTTATTTCTTATACAAGAAGCTTCTTCAGAACTGAAGAAGTTTTTTGGATAAGAAGCAAAACGTCTTCAAGAAAAAAAAACCAAGGAAGTCCATTGCCTTTTGAAAGGATGGGACACCCATCCTTTTTTTCAAATAAGAACATTTCCTTAAGGTGACTCTATAGCAATAGAAATTAATATTATCCAGGTAATGTGTTTAAGCCACTTCATATTTTAATTCCAGAAATTGAACTCTCTCCTCCTTTTGAATTTTGAATGCCGAAGAATTGAACATGGCTTTACAGAGGATTTTTTCTTGATGGTTTCCTCCAAATCTATCATTTTAAACCAATTGAAAGCTTCACTGTGATTGGGCCTCTTCTCATTTCCATGGCTGTTGTTTTATTTATGTAAATGGAATGTAAAATTCTTTCCCCTCAACCTAACATACTCCAGAGGCTTCAAGGGACTACATAGCTGTAAGGCTGAGAATTCATAATTCAAGACTGCCATGTTGGGAACAGAAGAAGGAGAATATTCTGCTAATTTTCCACTTCAATACATCAGTTGGCAAACTTTTTTTTTTAAAAAAAGCCGGATGCATTTGAGAGTCAAAGGCTTTTCCTGTGCCAACAGCTAAATCATAAAGCACTTTGGAGGAGGCGTTAAGCTGCCCTCTTTTTCTTAGGGAGGATGGTCTCCTCTCCCAGTTTTTTTTTTTTATCTGGCAGAAAAGGTTAGTATACTACATTATTCTCTCTAACAGGGTCCACTTCTTAATTCCGTCACATTTTTCTTCCAGTGCCAAGAAGACAGGAATGTACCTATAAGAATGCATAGAAGAACAACAAGCAAAGAATAAATTAAAACTATTTTAAAAATCCTGTTCCTGCTCCCTATGGCCAATTGCATGAGATGCAATGGTGTTGGGAGGAGGACTTGGGGACCCAATCCTCAGCTCACCACTGCTGCAGGCAACTCCTCCCTCCCGGGACGCGCCCTCCTGCTCCCCTCTCAGCTGCCCCTCCCTGATGGGTGGAAGAGACAAAGTCCTCAGTCAGATGGAAGCCTTTGGGGAGCTGAGTCTTGCATCAGGTAGGTTGAATGCAGCAGGGGTCTAGCAAGTTGCCAAATGAGGTGGAGGGGTGTCTACGGTTGGGGATGCCATCAGTGTTGTGATCAAACAAAGGGGCTCTGAGTGAGTTACCAAATGCACAGGTGGACTGTTGGGAAAAAGAAAAACCATGTGGGTTTGAAAAGCTAAGAGGGAGGGGGAGGGCTGGTTCTCTGAAGAGATCCAAGAGGTGAGAGCGGGTGTAGGTCTGAGTGTGTTGTACAAAATCACAAGTCCTTAAGTGCATGTGCTGCACATTCAGTGAGAAAGAAAAAAGGGAAGGGAAGGGAAGAAAGGAAGGAAGGAAGGAAGGAAGATTGTGAGTTGAGGGAAGGGAGATTAGAGAGATGGTCAGCAGCCAGAGGAATAGTGGCAAGTAAAACAAAAACTTTTCCAAGTTGCTTGTTAAATTGGGCAAAGGAGTTTAGAGGAATTGCATGCCTGACAGTCCCGGCAGAGCAGGGTGGGATGTGGGTTCTTTTAATCCTTTGGGAAAGATAAGTTCTTCAACGGATGCCTCCCTGCCCTAAAGAGAATTGCCGCTGGTCTCTGCTCCCCTCCCTTCCCCTCCCTCCCCTCCTGCCCCACCCCAGTCTCCTTCCAAGGAAAAGTTTAACTGGAGCAAAGCTGCCCTTGGGGATCCTTCAGGACTTGCTCTTTGGGGGACCTTTGGACGGGTAAGTAGGAGTCCTCCTTCTTCAAAGCCAAAGATGGAAGAATATCACCTTCCCACCTTCCTTGTAATTTCCAGCCTTCCTAGAAATGGGAGAGGCCCTTCGGAAACCGGAGAGAAGGGGACAAGGGGAACGGAGTCTTGTTGAAATGTAAAGAGAATGCTCTTTTTTAAATAAAGCTAATTTGTCCATTTTTTATAAAAGCAAACTAGATAATTTCTGTCTGCTTGTTGGGTTAAACCAAGAGGAGACATGCTGTATATCATTTTGTGCCTTAGAGTGATTACAAAATTTATGGACTTGGAAAGTCAGAATGACGGTGACAGCAATTAAAGACTGACATCGGTTTGAGTGATGCAGACGGGTTCTGTTCCCCTGGAAGGTAGCCCTGAGCCTCTTTAACATAGCAGCCTCTCTAGCAAACAGTAATACAAGGCGGGATGTTTGGGCACAGCTGATGAATGAGGTGTTCCATTACTAAAGTGACAGTTTTAATGCAAGTCTCCTTTTTTGCCCTTGTAGAAAATTGAAGATGTGGAACCTGTATATTTTACAAAGAATTGGCTCTCAGAGATTGCTTCCAAGGGGGCAGGAATGGCCCTGAATTTAAATCTATAGTACCTCTGATGCCTACAACAGAATTATAGAATTCCTGTCTTCATAAGCTTCATTCTGCTCTCCTCTCCTCTCCTCTCCCCTCCTCCTTTCCCTTTCCTTTTTCTTGCCCTTTCATTTTTTTTCCTTTTTCCTTTCCCTTTTTCCTTCCCTTCCCTCCTCCCCTTCCCCTTCCCTCCGCAAAGACAGGGTACATAGCCCTTCCTCTTCTCCCACCAACAAAATCCCTATAAAGCAGGGATATCCAGGGTGGGGAAGGATAGATCACAGATGCCACCTGCAGGATTTACCCCACCCTTTTCTATATACCCCTGAAAGGGATGGGATTCTAATGCTTTTTTAAAATATTTATTTAATTTATATGCTGCCCTCTGAAGTTTGTTTTCTTGCAGACGTTTAATTATCCAACTAGGTAACAGCATCAGTGCGCTCTCACTTTAATCAAAAGGCCAGCTGTGCTTTGGCCTTCAGGATACTTGATCTCAGTCACTGGACTGTCAGCAGAGGTGCCTCTGCAAAATTCAATTTGCAAGCCAAATTGTGGGCATTTCATTATGCTCCTCACTGTTACAAAACACCCCGCATGTGTCTTAACAGCCCAGTTCTAGGCAGGTTGCCCTCACTCTGTAAGACCCCCCTCCATATGAATTTAAAATCAAGCCTTGCCTTGTTTCTGACAAACGTTGATGGATTGGGCTCAGATGTAGCATAAAGCTATCAGGGCAAGAGCTAATCAGAGAAACATCAGAATGAAGTAAAACAGAATCCTCCACTGTTTCCTGGGGGAAGACCTCCTGATCTCTAGCCAGTGCCACTTTTGAACAAGCAGAAAATCTTCCAAATGAATTGGAAGATATCTGGCTGCAGATGGATCCAAAGGGTCAAAACTGCCAGCGATTCCCAAAGTTCGTTCCTTCCCTCCTTCCTTTACTAACCCTCCGTTCCTCCCTCCCCCTCCCTTCTCTGTTCAACTGAAGAAGCTTCTTGGATGAAAGTGAAACGTTTTCAAAGAAAACCCCAAGAAAGTCCTGTTGCCGTCCTCTTGGAAAAGCACTTTTATTTATTTATTGGTTCGATTTATATGCTGCCTTTCTCCGGAGACTCAGGGTGGCTTACAATGCGTTAAGCAATAGCCTTCATACTTTTGTATATTTATACAAAGTCAGCTTATTGCCCCCACAAACTGGGTCCTCATTTAACCTACCTTAGCAAGGATGGAAGGCTGAGTCAACCTTGAGCCTGGTGAGATTCGAACTTACAGTAATTGCAGACAGCTGGTGTTAATCACAATGCTTTTAGTCTGCTGAACTACCAGGCCCGTTAATGCTTAAGCTGGGCATCTCACTCCCGCCCCCATCCCATAGATATTCCTGTTGTAAGTTAGCCATCTACCAAAAGTCAGGCTAAAGAGATGGCTCTCTAGGTCTCACCCCACAGAATTCTTTCAGCTATTATAACTTCCCTTTCTGGGTTGATTTTTCCTTCTGGGTGACTGAGCAAAACAAAGCTCTAGGCTTTGTCTCTTTTGTATTTTTTTAAGATTGCTTATGGAGCAGCACGTTTTCGACTGAAAGAATCTATAAAGAAATATAAGCAGAGTTGAACTCAAGAGAAGCATCCGTGGCATATCGGCGCCTCTAGTTTCACTTTGCCTGCTTCTGCATTGGATAATGACTCTGAGTGGAGTATACAAAGGTGTGCTAGTCACGGAGAGGGCACAAACTGGATGCCGTTGTCTTGAAATCATGTGGCACTCATGCTCCACCATACATGCTAAAAGCCATGGGTTCACCAGAGCACTCTTCCTTAGATGCATCTGTGTTTTCCATTGTAAAACAGCAGTTACATTTTTATCTATTTGTGTTTTCCAGCAGCAATGTTTTCAGTCAAAAAGTGCCAACAATCCTTGTGCTGGATAGTATGCCAAGCATTGGCTAGCTTAAAGTAGTAAAGTAATAAATAAAGTAATAAATAAAGTAAAAGCGGGTCCAGCTAGATGATCACTGAAGGGCCCTCTTTGTTCATAGTATTGTAGAAGAGAAATTGTGTTTGCAAATGTATCCAGTTGAAATAAAAGGCAGACACATTCCTTCTTTGATGTAGAACCAGTGAGGAGAGGCCCCTCAGTTGCCCCTCAGTTGTCACAGATAAAGACAGTCTGTTGATTTACATTTTGAAGGTCAGAGAGACAAGATGTCCATATTATTGTTTCAACAAGAAGATAATTTGAATCTATGCTTCAGTAACTTCTAAGAAGAATTATAACTGTTTTGCAAAGATAGTAACAAGCTCAGTAATTAAGGTATGTCATTTTGTGTAACATATGTCTGTGATAATAAGAAATTGCTGACTTCACAGAATCCTTTGTTTGAAACTGTATAAAGGCTTTGAGCTGAAAATCATAGGGCGGTCAGACTTCTTGTGGTAGCGATACCAAGTCTGATCCTTTATTGCAATAAATAAATAAACTGATTCTGTCTGCCCTGAAGGGATGGTTCTGAATTCCTTCTTCCACAACAAGCTGGTAAAGTAAACATACAAGTAAATGTCCTTGCACTTCAGCCATTTTTCTTTCTTTCAGATTACCTGTTTCCTGTCATTTGTTTTGCTGACAAGCATTTCCCTGCCACCTTAGTCATAGGTAACCAACCCGCTAGAACTTAAATGTGCTCATATTGAAAGAGCTTCTTGAAGTTCTGCAGAAGGGTCTGCAGAGTGGGGTCAACAAAGTCAAAATGGTGGACAGTGATTGGCCCAAAGTCATCCAGCCATCTTTCATGCCTAAGGCGGGACTAGAACTCACCATCTTCTGGTTTCTAGGGCAGCGCCTTAACCACTACACCGCTGGCCTGCTATCTCTGCTGTGCTGAATTCCTTAGATAAAATAGAAGAAGTAAATGTTAGTAGGGATGAGTTTCAAAACAGATCTTGCTAGGAAGATCTAATCAAACCTCATATATTTGTCAAATAATTAGTTAGGAAGGTTCTTACTTATTTTTGCCATTTCTTCAATGGTATGATATGATAGATGGTTTAGGTCAAACACACACACACACAAAAAAAACAATTCATGGAACAAACCTTCCTTGATCTCATTCTGCAACTGGAGTTGATTACATTTGTTTTTTTTTTCAGATAAAATAAACCAGTTTAGCTGGGTTGCAGGGAAAAAAGGAATCCTTTTTTTTCCCGGTCCAGAATTGGAAAAGGTGGTGAACACACCAAAACAGTGAGCAGCACCTGGATGGAGGCTGGAAAAGTCTGTTTTCCTAAGAAATATCACAGACAGCCTCAACAACAGCACCTGGAGGAAAAGCAAAGAACGAAGCCACCTGCCATCTCTCTACACTGGCTTCTCTTCTTTCTGTTGCTGCCATCTTCCTCATCCTGCCTCAATCCTGCTCCCATGCCCACCAATGAGACTGGAGAAGTCATTGTAAGTCAAACCTGAAGCGACTGAAAACTGGGGAGTTGTGACATCTAAGAGGGGTTTTCGCAATCTTGGCAACTTTAAGATGTGTGGACTTCAACTCCCAGCATTCCCCATCCAGCTGCAGGAGTCGAAGTCCATACATTTTTAAGTTGTCAAGGTTGAGAAAACCTGTTCTAAGAAAATGGGTTCTCCAACAAAGTGGAGAAAGCCAAGCTGGTTCTGTGCTGCATCTCTTCTCCAGGTGGTTTGAGGACATTGATTAGAGTGTTTCTCAACCTCAGCAACTTTAAATACGGACTTCAACTCCCAGAATTCCCTGAACAACAGACTTTCTGGGGAATTCTAGAAATTCTGGAAACTGAAGTCCATCTCTCTCTCTTTTTTTTTTTATTGAAAAAGTTTTCAAATACAAATTCCCCCCCCTTTTTTTCCCTCCCCCTCCCCCTCCCTAACCCCCCCTCCCCACCCATCCCCCCCTGTGACTTCTTCGTAACAAAAAACCTAATTCATAACAGATTACTTACTCCCTCCTCTAAATACTGACCTTTACTTACTAAAAATATTATTAATATTATAACATCCCCCTTTATCCATACATTTCAAGAAAAAAAAAAAAAGACATTATACTATAACATTGTAAAATAACTTCTAATTTAGCATAATAGTATTATAACTCCCAATTTGGCAATAATCTGCCCTTTTTTTTCTTCTCCCAAACTTATATCTATATATTATTACAACAAATCAAATCAAAACCACCTTCCGCTTTAAAACTATACAATAAATCCTACTTTAACATTTAATCTTCTGTATGTATTACTATAACATTTCAAAGCGGCCTTCCCCATAAAATCTAATTTAACATTTATTCCACTCTATCCATTTCCTCCACTCCCCTAAATACATCACTTAAAAATCCCTTTTCTTAAACTAATCAATCTGCAACCTAGCTTATTCACCCACTGTCCTGCAAAATTACCATACACAACAATTCTTAATATCTTTGATTCACTGCCCACGCTACTTAAAAATATATGTATATATATTCCATTATATCTAAATAAAAAGGAAAAGACAATGACTTTAAATTTATAGTCCATATAATATCTTCTTGAAAGTCTTTCCACTGGATTGTTAGGACCATCATCCATAATAGGATAACATAGCTTGCTGATGCAACAGTTTATTCAAAATCTTCAATCATATCCGCCCCCATCAGTAGTAAATATCCTCTTATATGTATAAAAGTAAAAACAACTACCCGAGTGACATTATAATTATATTCCATATAGTAATAATTGTGGCTTTCATCAGGATTATTGATTCCCATCATCGTAGTGGGTAACAACCTGATCTTCTGCTTGCCCCAGCATAATTCTCTTGCCTTATGATTCAAGATAATTATAATATATTTATCAGCACAAAAAAGGAATTCCAAAGTGGATAATTCAAATCCATCAGTTTAAGGCTCTTTTCACATCCCAAGATTACGGCAATGCAGAGATCTGTCACTATCCTCAGGATAATATTGACCAATACGTCGCCTCCTCTATATTTTCACATACTCATTCATTTTTTAAAGTCACTGGCTTCACTGTTGCTTGATTTAGAAATTTCTATTTTGATGCAACCTATTTCTTTTTTTTCTTTTCTTTTTGTGGGTTTGATTTCGATCCTGGTTTCCTTTCTACAGATTGTGTATCAACTAATCGGTTTTCATTCTGCTTTGTAGATTGGTCTTGTTGGTTTTGTTTTTGTGTCTCATGTTTCTTTTTTATCCCTTGTATATCCCCTAATTGGTTTCCATGCTTGTCCTTGACTTGATAAGTCATCACGTTAAAGTCAGATGCCACTTCTCTCAAATTTGTAGATAATCCAGCTGGGGTATCCGAAAAATCCAAAGGCAATTTATCTGGTACAGTCTCTGTAATTCGATATTTTCCCTTTATTTCCAGCTCCTTCTGCTTATCCTGTATTATACCTGAAGATGTTAAGTTCATTTTCAACCTATTTTGATAAAATTCTTCTGCTCTTTCAACAGTATTTAGCTGGTATCTTTCTCCTTGATATCTCAATATGATACCAACTGAGGCGTCCCACCTAAATGGGATATTTCTCTTTTTTAACTCAGCCACCAGAAAACCAAATTTCTTCCTTTCCGTTAATATCTTAGGTGGGAGTTCTTTGTAAATCCAAATCTTTCTTCCATACAATTGCAAATTAGAATTGAAGGAATTTTGCACAATATTATTCCTAATTTCTTTATCTGTAAAATAAATCACCACATCTCTAGGCAGTTGCCTTTGCTTGGCAATCCAGGAATTTATTCTGTAAACTCTATCAATCCTACAAAACACGTCCTCAGGTTGAACCTTTAAAATCCCAGCTAGAATTTCAGAAGATATTTTCCTTAAATCATCTCTGTTATTTTCCTGCAAACCTCTCAGTCTTATCGCATATTCTGTAAAATTATATTGTACCATTAGAACTTCTCTTTCAATCCTCTGTTGCAGATTTTCTACGTTACCAGACTTTTGATCAGCCTCCATTTTAGGTTTTTCTTCTGAGCTATTATTCTGAGTGTTTATCAAATCATTTTCAATTTTTTGGATTCTATTGTCCAATTTATCTTGAGTTTCTTCCATTTTAGACTCTAGTAAATTAATATTTGTATCCAACTGTATCATAAATTCTGAAAAACCATTAACCACTTTTAAAATTTTTCGCTCCAAAAAATCAAACTTAGATTTCACCATTTCTTTAATTTCCTGCTTAAATTTTTCAAGATGCTGATTCACAATCTCATCCCTCTTTCAATCTCCTCCAAGAGAAATTCTATTATATTGAAATCAGGTTTCTGAGACTGGAGAGTTAAAACTTGTTCCTTTAAATTGTTAGTGGGGGAATCCCCCCCCACTACTTGTTTGTCTGACTTTATAAGTCTCAGTGCCATGTTTCCGCCCAGGCAAGCTTTGTTAAAAGAAAAAAAAAACAAGAAAAAAGACTTCTTTCCAATCAAGAACAATGTCAAGTCTCCAGGGAGAAAAAAGAGAGAAAAAAACACAGGAGCGAAGTTTTGTCTGCAAATGTAGCCAGTGGTATTTATTCCGCTACATTGTAGTAATAGAAAACGGAAGGACTTTCCCTTTCAGCCTCTTCTCCAGCCGCGGCAGACGCCATTTTAAAAAGCTTTCCCCCCCCCCTTTCCTTTCCTCTTCTCTCTTAAGTAGTTTTTTTGAAAAATAAGTAAAATACTTGCGATTCAATATTACAGGTCCAGCTCACATTTTCTTTGAATAATCTGTTAAATTCGCAGGCTTGCTTTTGACGCCTGGCTCTGCATTAGCAGAGGTCTCCCAAAGCCCGGAGCAGCGGCTGGGGATATGGGGCATCTCATCCGCTCCGTCCCAAAAGTAAAAGAAAAACTTTTGGGACTATGCAGAGAGTTCTACCCACCCCTGCCGGCTCTATCTCCGTTTCCTCATGGAAACGGAGTTTTTTCGAGCCGCCATTCTGCTGTGAAGGCGGCTCTAACAGGCAATGGAAGCTGACGATCCCGAAGGAACATCTGGCGGCGGCCAGCAGCAAACCGGAAGTCCTCGAAGTCCATCTCTCTTAAGATTGAAAATTGAGATTGAGAGTTAGAGAGTTGGCTTTCATGAAAAGTAATGAGATTTTTCTTCCCTGAGAGCATCTAAAAAACAAATTAAAAGCCCAGTTGTTTGATAAACCTGGCATTTCACAAATTAAATGGAAACTCTAAGAAATGAAAAATCAGCAACTTGGTACAGAAAAGCATTCCAAAAATCTGGCTGAATCTTTCAAGGGCTTTGGCAAAATGCAGAATCTGCAATTTTGTAGCTGGGTAGTTGAAAATTGGCCCTAATGAATTTAGTGGTTTTTCTTCTACGTAGGCAAAGAAGCAGTATAAAACAGGAGCAAATTAGTTTAGAGAGGCCCAGTTTAAGAAATTTATAATTCTCAGGAGGAAAGGTAAGGACTAGAGTACCTCATGTTTTCTATTGATCCTCTTTGTTTAGGAGTGGTTAATACATTATGGATACCTTCCACCAGCTGATCCTACTACAGGCCAACTACAAACCTGGGAAGCCGTGACAACAGCCCTTCGTGAGATGCAACGTTTTGCTGGCATTGCAGAAACTGGGATTCTAGGTATAATAAAACTGTGAGATGTTAGTATCTTGCTTGTTCTCCTTGGGGATCCATGGTTTTGCAATGGATATCTCTCTCAATCCATAAATGAGAGAGGACAGTCCACTTCTTGAATATCTTCAGTGAAGAAGGAGTACTGAATTTATACTTCTAGACAAAATTACAGTTGGTTTTCCACACTGGATTCTAAAATGAAATAAAGTGAGGAAAACTATCAGGATAAATTTATCTACTTTAGTCTGTTAGGAAATATATATCTTTGCTAGCTGTGACTCCATGGGGTGTAGTATTAAATGTCTCGGCTAGGACCAGGGTTCATGTTTCATATACTGTTTTCAGAATGTATTGATTTATTATTAATTAAATTTATATGACACCCATCTCAAGTTGGAGACAACTCTGCAGAATCAGTGCATTTCAGGTCAAAGGACCCTTTGATGCCATCAGAGATTTAGGTTTAAGCCTTTCTGCTAATAAAACTGGCCACAAAATTGCTTGTTTCCAAGAAATTGAGGCAAAGCAAGTTGAAAGAGAAAGGGCAAGGACTGAAAGTTTAAATTTTTCTGAGGTTTTTTCTTTCTCCTCCCTTAAATTTTTGCAGATGATGCCACACTGAGTTTGATCCGGATGCCTCGCTGTGCCTTGCCTGATATTATCCCCCCAGAGTTTTCTTTAAAAGAGAGTGCAAGGAAGAAGAGATGGCAAAGGAGAAAAAGTTGGGAGAGGCGCAGTGCTGGTTCAGTTTTGACTAAAAGAAACATCTCCTGGAAGTAGGTATACACATGTACTCTTAATGCAATGTTTCTCAACCTTGGCAACATTAAGAAGGCTGGACTCCAACTCCCAGCATTCCCCAGTCAGCATACTGGAGTTGAAGTCCACCCATCTTAAAATTGCCAAGGTTGAGCAACACTAACTTGGTGGGAAATTAGATCAAGAAAAAAATTGTACCTTGTGCAAACTCCGTTGTTCAGTGCCAGAGTTCAGACAACTAGGCTAACATGGAAACGGGTAGCTTCTGGTTTATTGTCGTTAGACGAATCTAGCAATGGATTTTGCCAGCTAAGTGAATCTGGGCATCTTTTTAAGCCATTATAAAGTCTATTTGTTTTGGGTGTAGTGTGTTATGTGAAACCAGGAATTGTGTTTCATTAAACCTGGTTTAGGATCCAATTCAATATTTTGACTACTTCATCAGAGTGGCACAGCATGATTAAAAGGTTCTTGAGGGAACCAGTTTCATGGATTTGCAGAATGCCTTTCACCATAAATGAAGCAAATGTCCTACATCCATGATGGTGAACGGACCTAGGTGTGCCCAAAGTGGCACATGGAGCCATGTTACCTGGTACGCGCGGCGTTGCCCATTCCTCTTCCGGGTTTCTGGCGCAATCAGCTGGCCTTTTTGCGTGCAGCAGTGCTGGAAACTGGAAGAGATGGTCTTCTGTTTTTCTGCATGAGCATGCACGCCAGCCAGCTGGTCGTCGTGTGCGCATGCATGGCAGAAACCCAGAAGACTAGCTGGCCAGTGCGCCAGAAACCAGAAGTTCATTTCTTGGCACATGCATATGTGCTGGGTAGCTCCTCTTCCAGGTTGTGGCCCCGACAAGCACGTGCGCACATGCGTGCTCATTTTTTGGTTTTGGCCCCCATTTTGGGCCTGGAAAGCCTCCTGCACCAACCTGGAAGCCAAAACGGGGCGCAGGGGAGTGGGGCGGGGCGCATCTACGGGGGCATGTGCATTGCATTTTGGGGGTTTGGGCACGCATGTGTGCATTTGCATGTGCATTTGCGTGTGTGCACTTTGGGCATTTGGCACCAAAAAGGTTAACCATCACTGTCCTAGGTTGACACTACATCCTCAGTTCCCCAAAAAACTAAACTTCAAGCAAGCCAAATTTAGTATGCTTTAGGAAAGCAAATGATATTCCTGTTGCTTTCACCTGCAGATTTTATTTTTCCAATAGGGTGAAGAGCTACCCCCAAAGAGCTCGTCTCAGCCGAGAGACGATGCGAGTATTGATCTATTATGCCCTAAAGGTTTGGAGTGAAGCTATACCATTAACCTTTCATGAGGTTGGCGGCCACACTGCTGACCTCTCTGTGGAATTCCTCCAGCTGGATCACCATGACAGTTATCCTTTTGATGGACCTGGTGGGATGGTGGCCCATTCTTTCTTTCCTGGAGACCCCCAGAGGGCTGGCACTGTCCATTTTGATGGGGATGAAGAATGGACTTTCCGCTCACCAGGTGATTTGATTTTCAGGAGTAATGGAGTTAAGAACTGTAAACCTGTTCAGGTGTTTGCCTGACTGCATGGAAGGCTCACATTGGATGCAGAATGCGGCCATGCATAGAATCCTTCCCTTGTCTTCTCCTGTTAGCCCACTTTTATCTAATGGTCTGAAGGTCAACTGTACTTGCCTTGGCTTGAATGTGAGTACACCCTCTGAGGGACCTGAAGGCTGCATGTACTTTTCTCCCCCCATGCTGACCTCTCTATGGGTTCAAGTGAATGCCCAAAAGGAGCTACAATGAACCTGAGGAGGAGGAGGCTTTGCTGAACTTGTGACATAGAGGTAGAGCAACCATCAAACAAACAAACAAACAAACAAACAAATAAAACAAACAAAAAGGAACAGTAAAGTCAACATACATGCATTTGTATGTATGTGGTGCATTTAATGCATTTTATGATGTGGTTCTTCTTTCATAGGGATTTTTCATTGTTTTGTCAAATTTCCAAAGCAGGGCCCATAACGTCTACCTCAACCAAGAAAGATTTTTTTCTTTCTGACCATGATCATGGCTTTATCCCCACTATTTCATCTTTTTGGATAATGCTTTAAGACTTTCACCATAACCCAAGAAGAATTTGTGCTGATTTCATGTGGGGTTATTCTCTTTTGAGAATAGAATCTCCTATCACCAACACCTGCCTTTCTTTTTTGGGGGGAGGGGTGCAGTCTGGGGTGCTTTTCTGCTTATCCCAGGTAAATTTGTTGATGTGACTTTTTAAGGGATATTTGATGATGTCTCTTTTTTGTAAGTGCATGTTTTCTTTGAGGGGGAGGTTGTGGGTCTGAGTATTTTCAACTAGAGTGAGAAATTGGTTGCTCAGTTTTAATGGGGCTGCTTCTGATTGGGTTAGATCGGGCAGTAGGGGTTTGTTAGATGTGTGCTGCTTATTTCTTTGATTATTGTATTTGCTTCTATGTGTGACATACCTCCATTTGGTGGAAACCAGTGTTGAAAAACAAAAAACAAAAACAAAACTATTCTGTTAGTCTGGCCCATTTGACTTTTCCTCCATCCACTAAGCAGGCTGGGATGTTGCCCTGTATCCAAAGATTCACCCTCTGATGCAACCTGGTCCCATAATCTAGGATGGAGACCTAGATTCAATTTTTAGAGCAAATCCAGTTCTCTGCTCTAGGGTACCTAATGGCTGAAATTTGAGAACTGTAGGAGAGGGGTGTCTATGGAGATTCTCAGTCATCCAGACCAAAGTTGTCTCAAAGGTGCTTTTTCAAAAGGCAACTGGAATTTCTTTGTTTTTCCTTTCGCTTCTCATCCAAGAAGCTTCTTCAGCTTCTTGGGTGAGCATCCAAGAACTGAAGAAGCTTCTTGGATGAGAAGAGAAATGTCTTCAAGGAAAAACAAAGGAAGTCCAGGTGTAGGAGACGAGCCATTTTAAGAAGAGGCAGCCATTATCCATAGTTACTTTTCATTCCTAATCTGGACTGAGCATTGTTCACAGCTCTCAAGATGCCTTAAAAGATTCAACAAAGGTTGGATATATTACTTTGTAGGAAATTATTGGACAGGATGATATTTTTGCTGTCCTTTTGATTCTGTGCTGTGCATTTGTGATTCCTTCTCTCATTTTGTAGACTCAGTCTGGATCACTCAACCAGTGATTTTTGTTGTTTGACAGATGACTTTGGCACCGACCTTTTTGCTGTGGCCATTCATGAGTTTGGGCACAGTCTTGGCTTAGCACATTCATCTTCCAAGCACTCAATCATGCACCCATATTACCAGGGACCGGTGGGAGACCCCTTGCAATACCAGTTGCACATGGAAGATCAAGCTGAAATCCAGAAGCTTTATGGTAAGTGCAACATGGAATCTTAAACATTGCTGGGGGGAGGGGTCAACCTATTCTCCAAAGCACCTGAAGGCAGAACAAGAAGCAATGGATGGAAACTAATCAAGGAGAGAACAGAACTAAGGAGAAATTTCCTAACAAGTGAGGACAATTAATCAGTGGAATGACTTGCCTATAGAAGTTGTGGGTGCTCCATCACTGGAGGTTTTAAGAAGAGATTGGACCACCATTTGTCTGAAATAATACAGGTTATCCTCCTTGAGCAGGGGGTTGGACTAGAAAACCTCCAAGGTCCCTTTCAATTCTGTCATTCTGTCTTCTGAGTTAAGACCTTGCCTGAGCCCTTTGGATCAGCTTTCTCAACTTGATCCAATAGATGCAATGGACTTCAACTCCTATTAATATCCACCAGCAACAGGCTTGACATCTAAGAATTCTGATAAAGACCACATAAAGGAGATGTATTGCAATTTTTAAAAAGCCTTTTTAAAATTCTTATTAGAATAGCTAACTCTGAAGGTATTGGTTTGCATGTCCAACCCATTCTTTAATCTGTAGATGTGAAATAGTGAACAAGAACTGTGTGGTTTTCCTCGCCTACTTTTAATTTAAATTCATTATTTTAATATTCTGGATTTATATAATAATTAGTTATGTAGTAATATTCATACTCATTATCAGGATTGTTTGTAAGGTCAATCAATCAAGTTCCCATATTTTCTGTAGAATCACATTCAAGCAGACAGTGGCTCGTCACTATATACGTGGCACTATCAGTTCTGAAATAGGTCCAGCCCAACTTTTAGTGATGGACTGAGTGTTTGTGGGGTGTGAGTGTCTGTGTTTGACCAAGCAGGCTGATACAATTCAATAGTATAGCCTTCAGTCTAATTTGCATTGGCCTTCTTTCAAAATTTCTCTGGACTGCAATGTCTGCCACCAAAATTCTTCATTTCCCTTAATACATTTCCTTTGTTTCTCTCCTTTTTTAACCAGGGAGTAAAGTTTTTCATTCTACAGAGAAGCATGATATAACCACTCCATTGCCAGGCCTTCTCTCCTTATCACAGAATTTCCCTGCAGTCAGGTTAGATGACAGTCTTTATACTGTTCATTTGCGAAGGGTAAATCAAGGTATATTTTGGATAGCCTCTGCGCTGATCTGTTGGATGATCCCAGCTTTGGCACCTCTGCAGCGTTAGGTAAAAGATTCTATAGAAAGATGTAGAGCAGATTCATGTATCGGGCTAAGCACTGGATTGTCTGACCATGATCTATTGAACAAGCAACAATTATCTGGTTTTAGACAGCACGCTAAGTCCTAAACTAGCCATAATTTAGAAACCACAATGGTCTACATATGTATGCACCATTTTCCCTGTATCTCAAATATTTCACAGTTCTGTGACTGTATGCACTAACATTACAATTCTTTGCCTCAAATTTATTTTACTACAGTTAATTTTAGGCTAATTTGCAGAGATTAAAAGGTAACAATAAAGTCCTTATTTATAGATAAAACTTGCTATCATTGTTAAGATGGTCAATAATTTCAGCCTTTGTCTAATAAACAGTTTATATTTAAGCCAGTGCCACTTCGTAATGCCAGGATAGCATATTATATTATATTAAGACTGAAGAAATCAGGTTATAATCCCAATTTAACCATGGAGCTCATAAAGGCACTTATAAAATGGACATATGACCCTGTTTTGATTTTGACATTTCAGCTTAATAAGCCAAGATATAAGTAAGGTATTCTGACCATCGAAAGAGGATTTTGTTTTTCCATCCATGATGGCAAACAAACTAGGAAATTCATCATTAAACATATTTTCTCATTTTGTTAAAAAAATGGGGTCAAAACCTGGCTAATGATACCGGAACAAGCCTGACTATTAAATCACAGTCTGAAACTGTTGAACCCGAAGCACTTTGAATAAAAGAGGGAACTAGTCAAATTCAGGTGAGATACAGAAATCACTTCTGCCACTCAGCCTGTTTCAGTGTTGGGGTAAGGATAATGTGAGAATGTGATATTCATGAATTCTGCCTTGGTTTGTCTAGACCAGAGGGAGATTTAATGAATACGCTCAAAATCTACTTCAGAATAGAACAATACACATTGCTACATTGAGGTAAAATGTATTTTCACACGGCTGACACCTCCTTTTCCATCTCAAATGAAACCAACACAGCGTTTAGGAATCCCACTGTGTGAGTTGTTGTTGTTTTTCCCAATATCCTTGTTCCAGACCAGGAAAAGGATTTCCTGACCGATGTAACTCCAGCATCGATGCTGTTGCTCAGATCCGAGGAGAAACATTTTTTTTCAAAGGTTAGTTACCTTGAAGACAAAGCAGCTTCTTCCTCTCAGGGTGCCCAAAAGAGGCTGCTGGAGTGCTGTTATGGGGTGGGCTATTGGGCATATGGTCAAGAGATCCAGATTCAGGGTCAGCCTCCTCTTTTTTAATTGAGTAGAAATTCCAGTATTAACAGGCAGGGCGAAACCCCTTCCTCCATACCATACCTATTTTTTAAAAACTTCAATCTTGCCTTCACTTATTTGCCTTTTTTAAAAGAAGCCCCAAACATCCGTCTTTCTAATTCCTTTGATTATCTTTTTGTAATTCTTCCTTATCCTTTTTGAATGCCTTCAATAGGCTCATATTTATTCATGTTACACCCCAGAACACCTGCCAGGAGAGACGGTCACCTTTGAGATGGAAATTAATCTTTTTCTTTTTTCTATTCCTGCACTGGTGGCAGATCAGTACTTCTGGCGCCTGTCCCAGAGCCGGCATCTCACTTCTCCCCAACCAGCTGTGATCCCTCGTTTCTGGCGAGGACTTCCTTCTGCTCTGCGCAAAGTGGACGCTGTTTATGAGAGACCTGCAGATCATCGCATCCTCTTCTTCAGTGGTGAGAAGATCTCAAGTGAAAAGTGAGCTGGACAAAGGCAGAAGGACATCCTGTTCCAGTAAAATGCGACGTGCTTTTGAGCCAATGGCCATGGCAGATATACAGAGTGCAGGACCAAGCACGGAAGAAGCTGGCATATTTAATTACTTTAAAGCAATTAGTGTGATTTCCAAACACCAAATAAACACTCATCCTCTTTATAATCAACTGCAGGCCCAGACAAAAACCTGCAGAATGATTTGTTGTTTCATCTCACATGCAAGTAGTCCTTGACTTACCATTGGTGGCTTAGCAGCTTTTTGAAATTAGGAGAGAGCCCCCCCAAAAAGGTAGTTATAATCCAGCTGTTTGCAGTATCCTGTAATAATGTGACCCCAATTTACAATATTTTTGCTGGAAACTGGCGTTTACTTTTGATTTCAAGCAAAAAATGGTCTCTAGCGAACAATGGACTTGCTTTATAACTGCTGCATTCATTTAACAACTGCCACAAAAAAGGTCATAAAATTGGGCCCAGTCACCTGCTTAAGGACCATCATGATGTACAACAGTCATTCCAGGCTCAATTGTGGTTGTAAATTGAGGACTATCTGTATTCTGCCCAGCATCCTTTGACTAAAGCCTGGTCAATCCGTACTACTGAGATGTCCACCAATAAAGGGCTCCAGTGCTGCCCCCCCTTTCAAATCCTTCTAAAAATGAAAATCTTTGCATCAGTGGGAGGTGGCACCACTAATCAATGAGGGTGAGAGGCACCGTATACTCTTGAACTGGCACTGCCCACCAGCAAATTACCAAGACCATATTCTAATTCATCATCTATTTGCTGCTCTAAACCAAAAGATTTAACTGCTCCCTCAACCCCTCCAGATGCTGTCTATCTGTCCCATCTCATTTGAGACAAATGAGCATATTTTCATTCTTCAGCCTTCCTCAAACTGTGTGTTCTCCAGAAACAGGACTTCAGCCCACAGGGTAATGCAGAGACTTCTGAGAGGTGAAGGCCATGCTGCCAAAAAGTATCTAGTTTGGGGAAAATTCTAGAAATGAAGACGCTAGGTTGATGATTTGCTTTGTGATGTGCTTGTTATCTCCCTCTCGTTTTTGTTATTTAAAATCAGGAGCCTGGTGGCATTAAGGGAGATTGTTTCAAGTTTCTATTACATGGGGCAGGTAATTAATGATTTCAATAACAAGTTATTTCTGTTGTTCATACCATTCTCTTTCTCTCTCCCTCCTTTTTTTACTCAAGGACCTCTCTACTGGGTGTTCAAGGACAATGGTGTGGAGGAGGGTTATCCTCGCCCAATCACGGACTTTGGTTTGCCCCAAGGGGGCATCAGTGGTGCTTTCTCCTGGCCTCCAGATCAGAAAACCTATTTCTTCAAGGGTGACCTTCACTGGTGCTATGATGAGACTACAAGGCACATAGAGGAAGCTTCCCCTCTCCTCCAGGAATCCTGGGAGCAGTTCTCCTCCTCTGTCGACTCTGTCTTGATTGAAAGTGATGGTGAGTTGGGCTGTGGCCCCCAGGCTGACCTTGGGCTGACTCAGAAGTTTCATTGCATGTTGATCTGGGCACCTGGAAATCATGAAATGCCATCAGGCTCTCCAGTCTATCCTGTCCTTTCAAGAAGTGCAGAACAGACAAGTCTTTTGCACAGAGGGTGCTCCAAGGAATATCCCGTTAAATAAAAGGCCTTGATTTGCAGATATGGGTGAAACATAATTTATCATCAGGGGTTGGTGGATACATTTGGAAGCATATTTTGAGCATCACCACAATACAAGTTGTATGCTGGTGTGGCCAGTGCTAAAGCACTCATTTAATAGAAGGCAAATGCCCAAGGAAGGACACCTAGGAAGGAAGCCATGGCAAACCACTTCTGAAAACCTTTGCCAAGAAAACTGTAGTGGCTTCTCCAGGCCATCTCTGATAATCAGACCCAATTGAACAGAGGCTGGTAAAAAGGTTTAAGTGGTCCCCTTCTTTTGGTCAAATCTTTCTAAATGCTTCTTTATGGAGTTACTAATACAGGTAATCCTTAACTTTCAACCCCCAGTGGGACCAGAATTTCCATGGCTAAGCAAGGTGGTTTTGAAGTGAGTTTTACAATCTTTTTTTTTTTTGTCATGCTTGTTATGTGACTCACATGGTCAATATGGGAAGCTGAATCCAGCTTGTTGGGAGACCTGGAAAGGTCACAAATAGTGATCACATGGCCCTGCAACCATTGTAAATACATGCTGGCTGCCAAGCATCTGAATTTTGATCACATGACCATGGAGGTGCTGGGCCAGTTGTATGGGAAAGGACCGGTTGTAAGCCACCTTTTTCAGTGGCATTGTAACTTCTAACAGTCACTAAATGAATGGTTGTAAGTAGAAGACTACCTGTAGTAGGGATAGACCTGCATTTAGAACACTAGCTTGTCCATTAAATCTAATCTTGCTTCTGGCTACCAGTTTTCTCCTAGTCATCATTTTATTCCAGGAGGCAGAAGCTGTTTCATATTGTCCAAGGATGTTATTCAGAATAATGGCCTCCATTCCATTTTGCTCTCACTTTTCTCCCTGTCCATCAATGCTCAGCTAACAACCTTCCGTGGCCACTGAATGTGCTGGGTTTTCATTAGGGCTACAGCATTCTCAGCTTGAATATTGGACACTGAAGCAACCACGTTTCTATTAATGATGCAATATAAGTAGTCCTTGATTTACAACAGTTTGTTTACTGACCGTTAGAAGTTACAAGGGCACTAAAAAAGTGACATGAAGGTTTTTTACATATACAACTTTTGTAGCATGCCCATAGTCGTGTGATGAAAATCCAGATGCTAGGTAACTGACTCATATTTATGACAGCTGCAGTGTCCCGGGGTCATGCTTGCAACCTTTTATTTATTTATTTATTTATTTATTTATTTATTTATTTATTTATTTATTTATTTATTTAATTTCTATACCGCCTTTCTCCCGTAGGACTCAAGGCGGTGTACAGTCAAGAAAAATATAGACACACAAACATCATAAAATTGCTAATTAAAATTATTACTTAGTTTGGTCAATTAAATAAAACCCAGAATTAGATCACATTTAAAAAATAATTCACATGTTCATATGTTTAGCCCCGCCTGTTGGAACATCAGGGTCTTGAGGGCACGGCAGAAAGCACGGAGATCAGGGATATTCCGTATCGCCGGGGGCAATTCATTCCAAAGGGTTGGAGCCCTCACAGAGAAGGCCCTCCCCCTGGGAGTCGCCAGTCGACATAATTTGACTGACGGTACCCTGAGTAGTCCCTCCCTGTGAGAACGAACTGGTCGGTGGGAGGCTATTGGTGGCAAAAGACGGTCTCGTAGGTACCCAGGTCCTAAGCCATGGAGCGCTTTAAAGGTGATAAATAACACCTTGAATCGCACCCGGAAGACTACCGGGAGCCAGTGCAGCTTGCGTAGGAGAGGTGTTACATGGGCGTAACGAGCTGCGCCCATAATCACCCGCGCGGCTACGTTCTGGACGAGTTGGAGCCTCCGGGTGCTTTTCAAGGGGAGCCCCATGTAGAGAGCATTACAGTAGTCCATACAGGAGGTAACTAGGGCATGAGTGACCGTGCGCAAGGCGTCCCGATCTAGAAAGGGATGCAACTGGCGGATCAGGCGAACCTGATAAAAGGCACCCCTGGCCACGGCCGTCAAATGATCTTCTAAAGATAGCTGTGAATCCAGGAGGACACCCAAGTTGCGGGCCCTCTCTGTGGGGAGCAAGATCTCATCCCCTATTGTCAGTGATGGTACCAGCTGACTATACCGGGACGCCGGAAGCCACAGCCACTCGGTCTTGGAGGGGTTGAGTCTGAGCTTGTTTCTCCCCATCCAGATCCGCACAGCCTCCAGGCAACGGGACATCACAGCAAGGGCATCATTGGGGTGGTCTGGGGTGAAGATGTATAGCTGTGTGTCATCAGCATACTGATGAACACTCACCCTGAAACCACGGATGATCTCGCCTAGTGGTTTTACATAAATGTTGAACAGAAGGGGTGAGAGGACTGACCCTTGCGGCACTCCACAAATAAGGTGCCTCGAGGTTGACCTCTGGCCCCCTGCCAACACAAACTGCGAACGGTCAGAGAGGAAGGAGGAGAACCACCGAAGCATGGTGCCCCCTATTCCTAACCCCTCCAGCCGGTGCAGTAAGATACCATGGTCGATGGTATCAAAAGCCGCTGAGAGATCTAATAGGACCAGGATAGAGGAGCAACCTCTGTCCCAAGCCCTCCAGAGATCATCCACCAACGCGACCAATGCCGTTTCCGTGCTGTATCATGGCCTGAAGCCCGACTGGAACGGATCCAGATAGACAACTTCATCCAAGTATCAGGGTAGTTGTCGCGCCACCACACTCTCAACAACCTTCGCAACAAAGCGAAGATTGGAGACTGGACGATAATTTGATAATATAGCCGGGTCCAGGGAAGGCTTCTTGAGGAGGGGCTTCACAACCGCCTCTTTCAAGGCAGCGGGAAAGACACCCTCACTCAGAGAAGCATTTATAATCTCCTGGAGCCAGCCTCGTGTAACCTCCCGGGAGGCCAGTACCAACCAGGAGGGACACGGGTCCAATAAACATGTGGCAGCGTTAAGCTTGCCCAGAATCCTGTCCACGTCCTCAGGAGTCACAGAGTCAAACTCTTCCCAGATAATGCTCTCAAGACCTGCCCCTGTCTCCTCCCCTGGATCTACCCAATCAGAGTCCAGGCCTTCCCGAATCTGAGCGACTTTATCATGCAGGAATTATACAAAATCCTCAGCTCGACCCTTTAAGGGATCTTCCCGTACCCCCACCTGAAGTAGGGAGCGGGTCACCCTAAACAGCGCGGCTGGGCGGTTCTCTGCAGATGCAATAAGAGCGGAGAAGTAGCTAGACTTCGCTGCTCTTATCGCCACTAGGTAGGTCTTAATATAAGATCTCACCTGTGTTCGGTCAGATTCAGATCGGCTTGACCTCCAAGCGCTCTCCAGGCGTCTTTTCCGATGCTTCATCTCTCTCAGCTCCTCGGAAAACCAAGGAGCTAGACGAGATCGGCATCGGGTCAGAGGCCGCAAAGGCACGACGCGATCCAAGGCCGCAGTAGCCGCCCTGTCCCAGGCGACCACCAGCAAATCTTCTGACCAGCAAACTCAATGGGAAAGCCAGATTCACTGAACAACTATGTCACTAATTTAACAACTGCAATGAACATCTGTGGCAAGAAAGGTTGCAAAAATGGGGCAAAATTCACTTAACAACTGTCTCACGTAGCAACAAATGTTGGAATCAATTATGGTTGTAAGTTGAGGACTACCTGTATCACTTCTGCTCCCTCTTCCAAACCATTCTGTATTCTGTGTATTATTCCAGGGACATTTCTTGGTCTTCTGCAACTTTGCGTCAATCTATTGCTGTTGTCACTTCTCTGTCCTGCTGCAGGAACACTGTATGTTTTTAAGGGCCAACAGTATTGGAAGTTTGACCAGGAGACCCTACAACTCCAAGCAGGATACCCTCGTTCCATTGCCACCGATTGGCTGGATTGCACCGTCGAACCTCTCAGGATAATGCCTACTAGCCCTTCATTGGGAGTGAAACTTCCACCCAACTTCCAAGGCCCTCAGCTGAAAATTGAGGAACGTGTGTGTTTTTGTGCTGCTTTTTGTGCCATTTCTTCCACTTTGCTCAACGTTTTGCCCTTGGCTCTCCTGACACTGCAAGGACTTGCCTAGCGTGGATGAGGAATATTAACCTGGGATTGCCCTATGTATTTCTCTCTGAGCACGAGTAGAGGCACTATCTCAGATGATCACACTGGACATCTGTGGCTGGACAAAAAGAGAGTGCTCCTGATGAGACTGAAAGTGACAAGCCCTTGAGATTGAGGCTGGGGTTGCCCATCCTTCAAGGAGTGGTGACCTCACTTTGCTGGAACAGGAGGTCATCAAAGTCCTAACATGTGGAGCAGTAGGAACATGAGCTTCAAATAGCAATGTTTGTATAAAATTATGAAGGAGCTGGGAGATGGACACTAAGTTATCAGAATGCCCAAACACAAGACAAAAGAGCTTTAATAGACTCTAGGGAATGGAAAATATGGAGCTCTTTTTTTATAGAAGGAACCAAAGGTATCTGGTCCCTAACTGGTCAGTTCTTTTTATATTGTAAAAGTTCTCCCTGGGCAAAAGATGGTCTGATGAAACTTGTTTAGTCACAGATCTGATCTGCTGTTTCGGGAAGGAAGCAGTGAATCTTTCCTCCCCCACTTGTTTTTTTTCTAAACTTCTGGCAGGGGCAGGAAGGAGCTGCTGCTTTTGATATTGACTCCATCAGCCCAGCTGTGGAATGATGCAATCTTGCTTGTCAGGGCCTGTCAAGCTAATCAAGAAAGCTTCATTGCAGGCCTATAACTAGAAAGAGAGTTGATTGAAAGATGAAGAATGCCTAGAGGGTGGATAAGAGCACGGCCTTTGCTGTTTAAAACAGGCATGACAGATGGAGCCAGATCCAACCTACCGGGCAACTTTTGACAGATCATAGACTTGAATGGCAATTTAACATGTCTGAGACTAGACAAGTTTCGATCCTTGCTTTTGGCCAAAATGATATGCATAAACTCCCTGTGGGACATCTGCCTCCTTTGCTACTCATCTTTCTTGTCCCACCCAGGTTGATGGGGGAGGGGTGTTCCCTGGGTTCCAGGTGGGGAGAAAGACACAAAATCAAAAGTCATGGGAAAAGGAGGAAAGTTATTAAAGCCAGCATGAAATTACACAACTCTGGGTGTTCTTAGAATGATTGATTGCATGCTGTCACTGGCGAAGAAAACCCCCATTGGCTATGTTTACACAACACATCTAACTTGACAGGTGTGTTCAAACAAAATGTTAAACTTGGTTAGGATTAAGGCAGGGTTGGTTGGTTGGGTCAAACTCAGTCTCTTTAGTAAGTTTATGATTCAATATATTATGTGAAAACAGGAAAGGCATGATTCAGTAAAAGGTATGCCTCAAGGCACCGAATATAGCCAATGAGGCAAGCAAGAAAGTAAAGCTATCATTAGATAGTAATAATTAGCACATTTTGTGTAAGGTTGGGTTTGCACCCTACAAATGTGACTGGTTTGGTTTTGGTTCAATGCAATGTGTGAAACCAGCTACAGACTTTTCTTAACTCGCATCAAAATGTTCTATTTCCCATAGAGATGAGAAAGTTACATTATTTATCACATTCTAGACATAAAGAGGAAGAGGCTTACAATTGGGAGGAACTGGTTCAAAAAATTAAGAGAGAAGATCCCTCTAGTTAAGTTTGCCCTACTGTTATCACAATAGTGAAGACTGAAATAGGGAAACAGAAGGTTTCACCCATGGTTCAGATGCAGAGCTACTGATTAAAGGCGGTTGGTCAAAAGCAGAAGGCAAGGAGGATACGGTGGCTCCAATTTAATAAGGCTTGAATGGTTGATGGGGCAGAAAGGCATAGTCACAGAGTATTGCCAGCATAAGGTGAAGACTCCAGCTTTCACTTCCAGTTTGTAAAGAATTGTTTGAAGAGCAGACTTTCACGGCCTTGGGGCAGGATCTGTACCTGGAACCAGATTATAAGCAGGTGAGACATGGAAAAGAAAAAAACGAAGCAGAGAACAAATCCTTGTCCATTTTTCGAGAACTCTTCAGATGTTTGAGTTACACCACTACATTGCTGTTCTCCTCCAGACCTTTCATCCTAGACCTTCTCTGAACCTGTCAGCAGAGGTGTGTCATTCTTTTATTAAAACCTTCTGAGGATTTTAAAGATGGTTTGCACAAGCTTGAGGGATCCTTACCTGAGTGTTCTGGGGATATTTCATTTGTGAGATGAAGTTCTCTGCTACTCTCAGAGCTGCTTGTTGTTCTTGTTCATTTGCTTTGAGGCCTGCAGACAAACAGGAAGGAGGAGGATAATTTATAAGAGCTGGGAGAGGGACCTTGGCCAGCGCTGGATTAGAAGAGCCAAGAGTCCTTTAAATAAAAGAGAAATGTCTATCATTGCCCATCACCTAATTATAAGTGCATCTGCTTATACGCAGGTGAAAGGCAGAGCAATCCCTTCCTTCCTTCCTTCCTTCCTTCCTTCCTTCCTTCCTTCCTTCCTCCCTCCCTCCCTCCCTCCCTCCCTCCCTCCCTGTCCCATTTTTCATTCAGTAACTCGAGGTGGTGGCATCCATAGCACCCTCTCCCTTTATTTTCCTCCATTCCCTGTGAAATAAACTAGCCCAAATTCATCCAGAGATCTTCCATAACTGAGGATGGATTTGAATCTGGATGTCCCTATTACTAGTCCAATATCTTAACCACTATCCAATCATAGAAATCATTGCAAAGAAAAAGGAAAGGTGTGGTGGTGATGGCAGGAAAAAAATAAATAGAAGCTGATGACTTGGGAACATTGATCAGAATGTCTTCTGGTGTAGACGTTTCTCAACTACTCTTCTACTCTTCACTGCATATATATACTTTGTATTTATGGTTCCAGAGAAGGCCCTGAGACAATGTATGATAGACATTACCTTTCCAAACAAAGATCTTTCCATGCTGCCCGTTGTCCAGGATGAAACAGTCATCTGTGATGAGCTGGTCCTGGAGAAATGGACTGGATTCGGAGACTGTAGTCAGACTCATTTTCCCCGTCATGTCAGAGACCTCAGGATTGAGAAGTATACAATTTACTACACTTAATGGAATCCAATAATCATAGGGTAGAGGTCCGGCTTTTGAGGTTTATGGTGCATTTTTTTAAAGCCAGCATTTTCTCATCCACCGACGTGGAGGAAGCGTAAAATGCCTGAGCATGGAGCCCATTCCTTCCTGTATTCTGTATTTCCTACATGCTGGACAGAATCAATGCATCCAGAACTTCTATCAGTTTAATATCATGGGGAAAAAACCTCAATGGAACCTTTGATTCAGTTGTTAGCAGCTAAAAATTGTGGACAGAAAGCACTTTGAAGCAAGACCGCACCTTAACATAGCATTCCCTAATTTCATATTCTACAGAAGTATCAGAAGAGTATTCCTCAGAATCAGTGTGGAAAACAGTTGAGAATTCTGAGAGCTATAGTAGAATTTGAGGGGGGTTAGACAAATCTATATCAAATCTAAATCTGTACCACCCCAACGATGCCCTTGATGTGATGTCTCACTGCCTGGAGTCCATGCGGGTCTTGATGGGGAGGAACAGGCTCAGACTCAACCCCTCCAACACCGAGTGGCTGTGGCTTCTGGCGCCCCGATATAGTCAGCAGGTGCCATCGCTGACTATTGGGGGTGAATCTTTGCCCCCCACGGAGAGGGCTCGCAATCTGGGTGTCCTCCTGGACTCACGGCTGTCTTTAGAAGAGCATATGACAGCTGTGGCCAGGGGGGCCTTTTATCAGGTTCGCCTGATCCGCCAGTTGCAGCCCTTTCTGGACCGGGACGCCCTGCGCACGGTCACTCATGCTCTTGTTACTTCCCGGTTGGACTATTGTAATGCTCTCTACATGGGGCTCCCCTTGAAGAGCACTCGGAGGCTCCAACTGGTCCAGAATGCGGCCGCACGGGTGGTTATGGACGCAACTCGTTGTGCCCATGTGACACCCCTCCTGCGCGAGCTGCACTGTCTCCCAGTGGTCTTCCGGGTGCGATTCAAGGTGTTGGTTACCACCTTTAAAGCGCTCCATGGCATAGGACCCGGATACCTCCGAGACCGTCTCCTGCCACCAATAGCCTCCCACCGACCAGTTCCCTCCCACAGAGAGGGTCTCCTCAGGGTGCCATCGGCCAAGTTATGTCGGCTGGCGACACCCAGGGGGAGGGCATTCTCTGTGGGAGCCCCAGCCCTGTGGAACGAACTGCCCCCGGAAATACGTAAGATTTCCGACCTCCGGGTGTTTCGCTGCGGACTGAAGACCCTGTTGTTCCGCCAGGCCGGACTATCAATATAATAGTTTTAAATTGGGATATTTAAATTTTTTGGGGTTTTAAATCTGAGCCAATTTATTTAATTATTTTAAATTTTAAATTGCTGTTTGTCTGTGTTTTTAAATAGGCTGTACACCACCCTGAGTCCTTCGGGAGAAGGGCGGTATAGAAATAAAATTATTATTATTATTATTATTATTATTATTATTATTATTATTATTATTGTATCAAGAGAATCTTTGGTCTGAGCAATCATGAATGGGCTGTTGTCAAGATTCTAGATCTCAGTGCAGTGTGGTATACTGAAACTAGATCAATTATAATCTCTGAGCTTAATGATTTATGTGTATGGGTATACTCGCTTGAAACTGAGTTCTTCCACCCATGGAGTCTCCATATCTCCTTTTGGAAATAATCCGGGGCTTCTCATAATGCCCCCAGATATCATAAATATGCAACAAAAGTGAGCAAAAAAACAAATATTGCTCAGCTAATTGTAGAAAACAGCTATTTTTTTTCCATTGCCACATTTTTACTTCAAGATGAATGTGTGTATACACACATCCAACCCACAGTCTGAAAATTGCAGCAAATAAATGACACAGAGAAAGTCATTTGGGTTTATTTTCTTGTGGTTTGCTTGTAAGCAAGCCTTCTCATTCCAGTGGCATTATGGACTTTGTGGCTACCCATCCTTTTAAAGGGACACAATGCCTAGCGTAGGATCATACTGGGGCATTATAGTTGATTAAACAGATATTTAGATTTTTAAATTCAAATGTTCAACCAGCAGCTAATAGGTTTCCCTCTCAAAGAGGGAGAAGGAGAGGATGAATGGATTTCAGAAGGTGCCTACAAGAGAACAATTTCCTGGAGACCCCATCCAATCTCAAGTAAGGTTCTTCTCATTTTTGGGTTATTACCTTATACAGTACTGCTGCAATAGCATTCTTCTGATCAGCCACAATATCTTCTTCAGCGGTGCCTTCTTTCAGAACTGGCTTAGGACCCAGTACCTAGAGAAATAGATCATGCCAATATCTCTTTGCATCAGAGTCCCTCCTGTATTGGAACCTCAGTGCTACACCTTAACATGTTCAAATTCAATGTTTGCCATGCAGCTACTGCCAGAAACATCTTCCCATCTAGAAAGTACTACTTCATCCATTTACCACAGAAATGCATCAGCAAGCTGGTTCTGGCCCTGTCAACCACTGAAATATAGTCCTTGGTATGAAAAAGTCAAGCATCCCTGATAGTATGAATTACTCTAAAACAGAAACTTTTGTTCCTATGGCCCATTTCTGTATGAAACTCCTTGCCAGATGCTACAGTAATCCATGGATAAAGAATATTTCATAACTTTTCAGGCACTTTTTGTACACCTTTCCTTGGAATCTTCTAATCCAGCCTTCTGATCCTGACTCGTTTTCAGATGAATTCTACAACTTCTATAATCCCCAGATAACAAGGAGAGCTGTGGTCCAACACAACTGGAAAGGAGCAGATGAGGAATTGGCCAACCTAGATACTAATTTGCATCTACCCTTCATATTCTTTGTTCCACACAAAAATCTTACCGCTGTCATCTCAGCAGGTTCTTCTCCATCCACAACAATCTCCATCTTTGCTTTTCCTTTCCTCTCAGTGTCTCGGATTGCTGTTGCAAAATCCCGAGCTTTGTTCCGCTCCAGAATGTTTGACTTTCCCCCATACCAGGCAAAGATTTTCTAAAAGGAAAAGTAGAAACCGACTAACATCCAGCCTTCACCATCTTTCAATTTCTCCCCCATGCATTCAATAGGAGTGTTGTGACTACAACTCCCATGATCT